ATGCAAAGATGGTAGGAACTTCACAGAACCAGAAGACATATTCAAATGATACCACTCTGGCAGAAACCGAGGAGGAATTAAAGAACCTCTTAATGAGAGTGAAAGAGGAGAGCACAGAAAATGATCTGAAGCTCAACATCAAAAAACTAAGATCATGGCCACTGGTAACATCACTTCCTGGCGAATAGAAGGGGAAGATATGGAGGCAGTGACAAATTTTACTTTCTTGGGCTCCCTGATCACTGCAGATGGTGACAGCAGCTACAAACTTAAAAGACGCCTGCTTCTTGGGAGGAAAGTGATGTCAAACCTAGACAGCATCTTAAAAAGCAGAGACATCACCTTGACGACAAAGGTCCGCATAGTCAAAGCTATGGTTTTTCCTGTTGTGATGTACAGAACTGAGAGTTGGACATAAAGAAAGCTGACTGCTGAAGAACTGATGCTTTTGAATTGTGGTGCTGGAGGAGACTCTTGAGAGTCCCCTGGACTGCAAGGAGATCAAACCTATCCATTCTGAAGGAAATCAACCCTGAGTGCTCACTGGAAGGACAGATCCTGAAGCTGAGGTTCAAATACTTTGGCCATATAATGAAAAGAGAAGACTCCCTGGAAAAGACCCTGATGTTGGGAAAATGTGATGGCAAGAGGAGAAGGGGACGACCGAGGATGAGATGGCTGGACAGTGTCTGCGAAGCAACCAACATGAATTTGACCCAACTCCGGGAGGCAGTGGAAGACAGGAAGGCCTGGCGTGTTATGGTCCATGGGGTCACAAAGAGTCAGACATGACTTAACGACTGAACAACAAAATGCTTTTCATTCCACAACATTACAGTAATAATTTCAAGGGCATTATATCCAAAGTCATATCCTCATCCGATTGGTATGTACTCCAATAATTAAGAAATAAATATCCCCCCACCCCAATCTGTCTTTCTAAATGCACAATAGAATTTTGCTAGAGTTCTTAGTTGAACTGGTGAAACACAAAGTAAAGGAATGTTACTGTTGTTCTCCCATAAAATGAGGCAGGACTATTACACCTACTTTCACACATTGATAGATTTCAGGAAGATAAATTTGGAGGAGTAGGCCGGGTGTCAATGGCATTGTTGCTCTTCACCTAAGAGAATGGCTGTGTTGCTGTTTGCAGCCAGCAATTTTTCCACCTTCTGATAAGGAAAGGCTTCCTCTTTGCCTCATAGTCTGTGCCTCACAGTGGGGCATGCCTCCTCCCTCCCCTTCCTCTATCTTCAGGACCTACCATCACCAGAGCAAGTGAGGAAATGGATGAGGCATGTTTGGTTCTGGCTGTTGTCTTCTAAGAGGGAGAAAAGGTTGAACTTGGATTAGAGCTACAATCATCTTAAAACAGTTATCATAAACATAGGATAAAAACTCAGGCAAAATAGAAAAGCAACTGGGATAAAGTAGAGGAGATCACCAAGTTTTAAACATGCCCATACTCATGTGCAGACAAATGCATATTTATGCCTTTCTCGACATGATGAAGATTCAGATGTTGACAACTGAGATTCAGGTTGATATATTGCTTAACACATATATGCAAGAACAGGCTAAGACTGTTTTGTCTAGTCTGTTGACAGTTGTTGTTTACTGATATTGTTACATTCTATCAAGTCACCTCTAATTATGGCAACACTATGAATGAGAAATCTCCCAAATGTCCCAACTTTTAGTCCACTGTTAGCATAGATTGAGAGAGTGTTTGCATCTTGTGTAATTCAGCATCTTCTCTGTTCTTCTCCTTGTCTGACCTGGAGTTTTTTTGGGTGGTGGTGGTGGTCTTTCCCCCTTTTTTTGGTGACTGATTAAGACAGCATGATGGCAGTTCCAGATCCACTACAGCTGGCATATTTTTATGTATTTGCAATGAAAGGCAGGCAGGTCTATTCTCTGAATTTTCTTAGTCTTACTCAAAGCAGGGATAGGGGTGCTTTGGAAATTTTACTAAACCCAAAATGGCTCATTACAAAGACTGGCTTTTAGTGATCAGTTCTTTGATAGGATCAGGGGAGTCTGATCCATATAGAAGCTGTTACATTAATTCTTTGAACTGGTTGTAAATAAGCATTGTATCTTTAAAGAGAATAAGTACTAGGCCATGTTCCTCACTGAGTATTTTGAGAATAAAACCTGTGCTTCACTTTCTACATCTGTCTCAATTTATGTTTCTAGCTGTTGAAATATTTGTCTTAACAAATACACATATCAGATAATCACTGTGAGCTAGTTTAATATGCTTACTTCATTAAGGGTAAAAAATATTTGAAGTACAAGGAATGGGTCCACTGTGAATCCTTATTCCCAGTCATGCCAGCCTCTTTTCTTCAGTGTGACATGTGGTTCCCTCTCCTCCACCAGGTTGCTCATCTTCCACCCAGTTTTCTGAGTCTGAAGAAGAGATTAGACAGAGAAAAAAAAAGAAAGAAAGAAAGAAAGAAAGAAAGAAAGAAAGAAAGAAAGAAAGAAAGAAAGAAAGAAAGAAAGAAAGAAAGAAAGAAAGAAAGAAAAAGAAAATCACTTGTATGACAAATCATGTGCAGGATTTCACTGTAAATTCAAAGCTTTCTCCTTGATTCCTTTGCAGATGCAAACTGAATTTTGATAATAAGGCAGACAAAATGTGGCTCTCCAGAGTGGCTGTATTGGCTATGATATGAATAGTTTAGCAGCATTTGGAGAACCACATTTCTACGAGCAGCTTTATCTTAAATATTCAGGCATTATACCAACAAGCTTATGTATCAGGTGAAGCTTGCTCCCTTCTTAATGCTTCTTCACAAATCAGGAGACAAGGAAACAAAGAAGAGGGCTGTTCCCTTGGTAATTACCAAGACAAATGCCAAATAAGCATTCTGCTTATTTTTCAGATGCTGACATGTTTTCAGACTCAGAAGTTCCTAACAGATGAATGGGTCCATTTTTCTAATAACCCTTCTGTCTATTGTAAACTGTCTTCTTGCAAAGCACAGATGACTCAAGAGAAGCTGATATGTATAATTCTCACTATATGTATCTGTTTATAGACACACACACACACACCTTAATATATATGTGTAACAAGTCTATATTGTGTGAAAAGTGTGTCATTGTGAAAATCAGACATGACGTTTTACTGTGAAAAAAGCTGAGCACATGTCTATTTACATATATCAGCAGCAATGCAATAGTTTTTCATTACTGTATATGCTAACTCAGTAAGAATGTCTATTTACATATATCAGCAGCAATGCAGTAGTTTTTCATTATATGCTACCTCAGTAAGACTCCTTGTACTAGAATTTGTGCATGACTATGTTGATACAAGCATGTGTAAGAGTCCAATATAGATTGTGACACTGGCTATAGCTGATAATACATACAGCCAATAACACTTGTAGCTGATTATTTCATACAGAGCTAATTGTATTACGGTATTTATATTATGTTAGCATGAAAGTATGTAGACCTGAAAGAAGATAGTAGTGATACGGAGATTCAGGCAGGTCCATCTCTGAGTCCTCACTCCACTAGGGGTATAGGTGTTGATATTAGGATTTCTAGTCCTGGACACACTGTAAACACATGCAGTTGAACATACTTAAGGCACTTTCTACCCATATCTCCGACTTCCTTTGAGTCTCACATGCTTTCAGACTGAATGCCTGCCTATGGCTACTGACCCTTTGAGATGTTTGCAGGCAGTTTTCTGAATCCCAATTTCTTAGGAAATTAGTTAAGCTGTTCCCATGTTTTGTCTTACACCAAATTAATAATAATGTGTATCATATGTTAGCCATAATTTGAGTACGCATGTTAAAATCAATGACCTGAATTCTGTTAATCTTCATGCTTGCATAAATTTGCCAGGTGTTACACACAGGAAGTACAGATTGTAAAATTCAGTTGCACAGTTGGTCATGCAGTTCCTGACACAATCAACTGTGCAGTGTGGCTTTCTGAATAGCACTTCTGCCTATCATTTGTGTACAATTGAGTTATGCAAGTGTAACTGCTCAATTGGATTATAGCCAGGGGATTTCACTTTGAGCTAAAGTGAAATGAATCAACTTTTAAAAACTAGAAGGGTGTCTACTGGAGAAACAAAAATACTGATTGGGGATATGAGATTTTACCTGATTTGCATTTCCTGTTGCATCATGTGATCAACGGGAAACCTACAAACTTGAAGTACGGTAGTCCATTGCAAATCTGTAATATTCCACACATATTTCCCTGTGTAGTCAGGTTCTGTCACAAACCTTGTCACCCCCACTGTTTTCAGTGGTTTTATTCTAATGAATGATTACATCTAAATCAAATATAAGGTGTTTACAGGACAGTGTGAGATAAAGCAAATGAATTGTGTAGGTGCTGAGAGTATTTTAAATCCGACTCCCTATTCTGATAAATTTATTATGTCTTGGGATAAAAATAGATGTAAAAATTTTATGTCTATTTTCATTTAGATGCCTCCGATCTGTATTCTGAAGTTTCAAGTCAAGAACTCTGCCTAAATCATTAATGTGTATAATTAATTATTTTCCCCAGAAACAAAGGTACAACTACATCACATTGGTATTTATATCTTCACTCCTTTTGAGGTGCAAGTAGGACCTTTTAATTATGTTACACAGTGATGGGCAAAATGTGGCCTGTAGACTAAACGTGGTGTCCAGTAACATTTTTATGGTCCTCAAAGCATTCAAGTCCTCTCATATCATCCCCCAAAGTAAATAGAATGGAACCATTTTAGTTACTTTCAAGAAAAATAAATCAAAAAAGTACTTTTGGAAACTATAAGAATAACTGATTACTTGTTTGTATCCACCTTGGAACTATTATTTGAATCAATTACCTTTCTTTAAAAGGCGACTTTGCAAGATTTGTAATTAATTACTATTTCTCCAATCTGCATTTATTATGATGGCCAACACTATTCTTCCAGGCATATATTTTTACTGGTCTAAGTGGGAACTTTGTATTCTACCTAGGTATACATATACGATTGGGAGCCTTCGTTAGAGAAACCAGAGTAAGAGCTATCCCATGGACAGTTTAAGAAGTGACTGCAACACAGGTGAGTAATTCCTGAATAAGACAAATTGCAGTGTGTGTGTACTGTAGAAGATAAATTGTTTCTTTATTATCAGGTTGTGTTAACTCAAACAGACATGTTTACTCATGACATGTACTTTAATTCTGATTATTATAACTAACAAATACTTTCTGTACAGACCTACTATATACATACTGGAACTTATGAATAGATCTGGATTAAAATTCAAGATAAATAACAGAAAGTATATGCTGCTAGTTATTGGTCCACAAGAGACTCGTGTTTCTTTAATATCAGGATGCCATAAAATCATGGTATTCTGTTCCTAAATTACCATTACTATTACCATAGCCTTCACTGCCACTGCTACTGTTTCTTCAGCTTTTTATTTTCATATGAATAGAAGTAATATACCATGAAAACAGTTAAAACTAAAACTAAAAAAAAAAAAAACCCAAAAACTTTCTGTGCAGTATTTACTGTTTCTTTGCAGAGGCCATTGATACGCCTTAATTATATTCAAGTACAACTAAAAAGTCTTCAGCTAACATGAATATAAATGATTTTTACATAGCCTCTTCCTATAAGTAAGTTCTACCATACCTTTGTGCCTAAATGTATAAGCTAACCTTCCTGCCTGCAACATCACTATAATAACATACCTGCGGAAAGTCCATAGATTAGTAGCAGAGATAAGTTTTTTATATACTTTTAAAAGGTAAAAACAACTCTCTTTGAAACCCTCCTGCTACAATAAGTTGTCAGTTGTGAATAAGAGATGGACCATTATTGTCTATTCCCTACTCTTTGTCTATACGGCGGCTTTCAGATTTCATTTTCATAAGGAACTGATGGCGTAGGGTTTGGTTTATCATATTCTAACCTCTTCTTTGCTGGTACAATTTGATACAGGTTTGAGTTATGCTTGAAACACATATTCCTTTTGTAAAGATTCTAGGTAGAGAGTATAAATGATGCCATGCTATTTGAGATGTGCTTATTTGGGATCTGCTTAATGAAAAAAAATATATAAACCCCTATCTGAGAGGATTGTTATATGACGCAAGGTTCTTAAACAGTTCTGGTGAAGCTGGCCATAACATTTGTCTGAAAGAACAAATGGTCAGATAATCTTAACTGATTAACTGACCTCTTTTTGACAGTGGCTAATGCCAACATTTTAGCCTAATTGAACTGGTCATGTTATTCACTGTTAATATTTAACTGATGAATATTGACATTGTTCTTTTTCAAAATTATTCAAGGCTTTTCTTCCCATCCATCATTTAATCTGTCTTGTGAAAGGGTAGATGAATAAATGATACTCAGACACCCCCAATTTCCTGATAAATTATAGAACACATTTCAAATAGAGTTGTGTTCAGTTTTTACCAGTAAAATAAATTAAAATACATTTATCTTCTTTTTGCAGAGACACAAAGGATTATAAAACCAGTTCAGCAAAGTACAGTAATCAATGTTTCCTATGTTGGATATTATCTAGCTAAATATTATTTATAGTTTCACAAAGCCAATTCAGAGCAAGGACCTGGAATTTTGGGCAAAATTAAGAGATGTAAATTATTGCTTGTCTTGTGAGGACAAGGAAATGCAAAATTATTTTTCCATTCCTACAGCAAGGTATCATATTTTCTTTTATGGTGAGAGAAGACAATGCTAATGGAATATCTTTGCACAAACAGAAAAAAAATGCATGAAACAATTCTTTGAATTAAAAAACCACACAGCTTGCCCAGAATGCTAATAGTCTGTTTGAATTAGTTGTTCTTACGGAGTTTACTCACCAAATCTTCACTTATTCAGTGGGCCTGCTCTAACGTGGCTTCTACAAGAAGTAACATAATTTCAGTCTTTGTGACTGTAGCCTAAATGCAGCATATCCTTTGGGGGATGACGTTCAGAGAGATTCTTTTAAATTTCAGGTTAGTTTAAGTATGCAACCTTTGAAATTTAACAAATTGCCAAGCAAATAGTTCTGTAAGCCATTTCTGATAAGAGATGGCAATCCAAACAAAACGTTTGAACCTTTTGATCAAAATGTTCAAAACCTTTGAATAGGCTATTAAATTGGGACAAAATTTGACATAACATTTGCAGATAGTATAAACTTGCTCTGAGCCAGATTTGCAGAATATTTAACACATACTTTAAAAAAAAAAATCTGATTTCTGATTTTAAAAATCATTTCTACCTCCTCACTCTCATTCACACTTAAGCTGCTTTTTTGTCAGTTTGCAGCAAATTTCGTAGTTATTTTTCATATCCCAACCAAAGCTTCCTCAAAAGGAGGTTGGTTCTTGCTATACATTTTCTTTATTTGAATTTTATCTCTCTGGTCCTTTGGAAGATGTGAGAACTTAAGAGATGCTTATTTTACATAGGAAATATTTTCATAAAGTGTGGCTTCACATTCTCTCTGAAGTATTCTGTAGCCATTGCCCAAATGTGTTGCCAGTAACTCAGGAAAATGAGTCTTATTAAGGTGAATGGGTTTTATTTCTGGGCAAGACAGACCAGGACTTGAAACCTACCACAGGCATAAGTGTCTTTGAAAAAATAAACACACATACAAAAAACTATAGGATGAGGACAGTAACAAAAAAGTGTGAGTGAAGTTATGGAAAGGGAGAGGAAGCAAAGGGAGAGAGAACCAACAAGAGAGTCAGAGAGAGAGAGAGAGAAGCCATGGAGAGAGAGAGAGAGAGAGAGAGAGTAACAGAATAAGAGAATGAGGGAGAGGGAGATAGTGAGAGTGAGGAGCCACAGAGAGAATGAGTATTAAGTAGTCCTTCGCCCTTACCTCTGCCACTATGCCATTAACGAATGAGGACAGTGAATGAACTCTCAGATTATGAGTAATTTTGGCCATAAAAAAAGCCAGTTACAGTTTGAAAAACATCTTAAAGTCAGCTGAACACCCAGTTTGACAGTTATAGTAGATAGGAGGGACTGATAGTCCCATTGGAATATTGTAAAAGGAGTAAAAGAAGTACAGCTATTCTCTCTGTTATTTTCTCTTAGCCCAGACCCATGTATAGTAACTGTATGAGGTTCTAGTTTGTTTCTGGGCTCAAGGTGTTGCTCTTGGTGTACAACACTTCAAATGATGGGAGCAGGTTATCTGAAAGGCTATATGGCTGCTTAGAATTTCCAATAGAAGGCTTGTCCACTGTCCTACTATCTCATGATACTAGAGTACATGAGACAGGACTTTCTCGGCAGCAGTACTTTTATACCACAACTCCCTCTCACAGAAAGTCAGAAACCTCCACCTTTCTTGTAGTTTTGCTGCACTACTTCATGTGATTTCTCTACTTTTTATATAGAGAATATATATTAGTTTTGAAAGAATGTTCACCCCATTGTTTTAAAAAAATATGTTTTTTTCCTATTATAAATTGGTCTGTGGCCCTGTTATGCAGAAAAGTAATAGGTACATGTTTTACTTATTGGGTCGGAGATAACTTGATCACACATAACAACACATTTCCATCACCCACCCCTCTCCAAATATGTTGAACCATGGTGGTCGAGACACGATGGAAGTTGTAGACCCATAAATATTGAGGATACTAAGTTGAGGAAAAGTGAGTTAGACTGAGAGCAGGTAGACACATCAATGCACAGAACTGTCTGTGCAGAACCTTTATTAGAAAGTTTGTATCCTGCTGACTTCTATGACACAAATGAAGAGCTGCAAACAGGGAAGAACGTAGAAAGCTTGTCCCTATGTCTGTCGTGATTGTGGGATCACTAAAATATTGGAAGTCATGCAACCTGTTCACTTTTCTCACATGTGTCAATAGTTTGTATTGAAATCTAGGTAAAGGGCTTAATACAGCCTATGATAATACTGTTTGACATATTATTAGTTTCATTCTCAATCTGTGTGAGCCTAGGCCATGAACTTTTCACCAGCCCTGGGAGGAAAATAAAACAGCAGTAAGATTAAATATTTATAAATAAAATATTAAGGAAGTAAATAACAGTTATTTGTAGAACCAAATTGTTGCCTACTTTTTTCAAAGCAATGCCTGATCAAAATATTGTGTATCTTTTTTCTTTTTCTTTTTATATTTTCTCTTTTTCCCTTCTTTCATCTTGAATAACTTGTCTATTGATGTTAAAAAATTTTGT